GAGGGAGCGCCGCACTGTCGGAGCGTCAGTGCCGAGGGAGCGCCGCACTGTCGGAGCGTCAGTGCCGAGGGAGCGCCGCACTGTCGGAGGGTCAGTGCCGAGGGAGCGCCGCACTGTCGGAGGGTCAGTGCCGAGGGAGCGCCGCACTGTCGGAGAGTCAGTGCCGAGGGAGCGCCGCACTGTCGGAGGGTCAGTGCCGAGGGAGCGCCGCACTGTCGGAGGGTCAGTGCCGAGGGAGCGCCGCACTGTCGGAGGTCCTGCCTTTTGGATGAGGATCTAATCAAAGGCCGTTTTCCCTGAGCTGGATGAAAATGAACCGCAGTTGTTTTGTGTTCATTACAAGTGTGCATCACTTGAAATGTTTTGTGCTATGTGGAGGTGCTACGTAAATACATGTTTTTATTGTGGTTTTTAAACAGTGCCGGGAAGCTACATTTATTGCTCATAGTGGAATGTAGCAGTTGGTTCCTGTCCAACCTCACCACTGGATCTACAAATCGAGTCACTGCATCTTGTTACTGTTTCGGTCTGTGACCATGTAAGGTTGTGTGTTACAGACTTTAATTCCTTTCAATGCCCAGGGGGGTACAGTCCCCCTCTCACGGTAATGCCAGCTCTGACGTGGTTTGTGGGGGTGTAGGAAGGAACCGCTGGGGTTCCTGATTGGATGAGCAAATGACTCAGCCCAATATCGAGGAATAACATTTCCCTGGACTTCTGCCAGTGGGAAGAAAATTTTTAGAGAAAATAAACATACCTGATGGCAGGATGCCAACCGCTCCTCCCCCCTGGACAATCTCATACCCCCCCGACCAAGTCCCTCTTCCCTGAGCAACATCACCCCCACAACCCACACCCTCCTTGGGCAACCTCACCACCCTCAACACCCTCCCACGCCCCAAACATCCCTGGGTAACCTCACCTCCCAATCCACACCTGCTCCCTGAGCACCTGCACCACCCCCGCCCCCCGCCCCCCCCCAACCCGTGCCCACACTAGACAACCTCACCTCCACCTAGGGCAACACCTGCAACTTTACAAGTCACAGTCCCTGGAGATGGTTCACTTGGTTGTATTCACATTCTCCCGGTTATCGATTCTCTGCACAGTCCATCACCTTAACATTTCATTCACAGGAGCAGGATGTGGCCATTCAGCCCCTGCCAAGCCTGTTATCAGTGTGATATGGAACAACACTCACCTGTATCTGCCCCTTGCCCATGATTTTATCCACAATTTCATTGTCGTCTTTATTCAGTTTGATTTTGTCGTACAACTTCTCGTAACAAAGGATCCGCAATGTCTGGGAACCTTCCAACTCAATCTCAAACTCCTGTCAGCAACAAAGGCAACAAACTGTTACAGCACCTCAATTCATCACATTGTGAGAATGGAGGGAGGTCATTCAGCCCCCTCCTCAAGCCTGTTAAACAGGAACAGGAGGAAACCATTCATACAAACCGCCAACATAAAACTATGAAAGTTAAAACTCTGACCATTTTATAAAACTCCCCTTATGCACACATAGGGTGGAATCCTGTAGGAGTACTGTGAGCAGTTTGGTCGCCTTATTTAAGAAAAATTATTTCATTTGAGTTCACAGAAGATTCACAAGGATGATCCCTGGTAGACAGGTATTGTCTTACAAAAAAAGGTTAAACAGGTTGGGACTCTGTTCATTGGAGTTTAGAAGAATGAGAGGTGATCTCATTGAAATTTATATGAGTCTTAAGGGCTTGACAGCTGAGAGGATGTTTCCCCTCATGGGAGAGTCTAGGTTCAGAGGGCATAGTCTCAGGTTAAAGGGGCACCAATTTAAGACTGAGAAGAGGATGAATGTTGTCTCTCAAAGGGTTGAGAGTCTTTGGAACTCCTTGCCACAGGGAGCTGTGGGGGCAGAGTCCTTGTATATATTTAAGTCTGGGATGGATTCTTGATCAGTCAGGGAATCAAGGGGTACGGACAAAGGGCAGGAAAATAGATGTAGGAATGTTGGATCAGCCATGATCCTATTGAATAGTGAATCAGGCTTGAGAGGTTGAAGAGTATATTCCTATTTCTATTTCTTATGGTCTTTCTGAGTCTAAACACTGTGGGCAATGGCAATGTGTGTGCCAGAATTGGGACAACAAATGCCACGAGGACCATCTCGACATTGAGATCATCTCACTTCATCGTTTATGCTTTTCACAAGTGGCGTGGTGAAATTCCCGCTGGGCAGTGGTCATCATTGATTGTTAAATGCCTCATTAACAACCCAACTCACCTCATTAATATTCAGGCTCCCATTTTGCCAGACTCATCAAACAATCCAACGTCAGGGAAACTCAACAAAGAAACCAGAACAAACACCTGATACTTTCGCTGCTTTCTCCAAACACCTTCCATGTTGGACAGTGAATACCAGCATGTCACTGCATGCTCCATGGCATTGGTCACGTACACACACCCCACATCCACAGGCAGTGACATCTGATATGTGCCAGCTTTGAAGAACCATCATAGCACATCTCTGATCCATTAAAAAGACGGGCTGTGGCTCAGTGGTTAGCACTGCTGCCTCACAGCGCCAGGGACCTGGGTTTGATTCCACCCTTGGGTGCCTCTCTGTGTGGAGTTTGCACATTCTCCCTGTGTCTGCGTGGGTTTCCTCCGGGTGCTCTGGTTTCCTCCCACAGCCCAAAGATGTGCATGTTAGGGTGGATTGGCCATGCTAAATTGGCCATATTGTTCAGGGAAGTGTAGATTAGGTGGGTTATAGGGGGATGGGTCTGGGTGGGATGCTCTGAGGGTCAGTATGGACTTGTTGGGCCGAAAGGCCTATTTCCACGCTGTTGGGATTCTATGATGCTTCTGTATCCCTCCAGTGTATCCACCTTTTGATTGGGTCATGACTGATCTGAATCCACCTTCAATCCCCTTCCCCAAAACAAAAAATTGCCTGATCTCAGTCCTGAGGTGTTCCGGCTGTTCTCCAAACGCAACAGCTTTTTGGGGAAGAGGAGTGTTCCAGACCCTCACTCCTCTCTGAAAGTGGAAATGCTTCCTGATGTCACCACGGTACAGCTTGGCTTTGTAGGTTCTGTCCCTTTATTCTGGGCCCTCTCCACCACAGGAATGAGACTCTTTTTCAGCATTCTGTAATGGTCTTTGGGAGGGCGTGGAGAATTTCCAGACAGCATCCAGGGACAAAGAGAAGCTGGGATTGCTCTCCTCAGAGCATTGAAGACAAGAGGAGATATAATCGAGGTGTTCAAATGATGTAGAGAGGGAGAGACTGTTCCCAGTGGCAGCCAGGTGCGTAGCCAGAGAGGTACAGGCTGAAGGGAGTCAGTGTAAGAACCCAAGGAGGTGAAGAAGAGAATGATTTTTTGAGATAGCAAGATGCTGTGATCTGGAACACGGTGCCTGAAGGGACAACAGAAGCAGATTCAACAAGAACTTGAATAAATACTTGAATAGGAAAAGTTTACAGTTCTCTGGAGAAGGAACAGGGTGATTGGGACTAACTGGAAAGCACAGGTATGGGGGTGCTGAATGGCCCCTTTCTATTCTGTTACAGTCTGAGCCCAGTTGAATCAATTCAGCATCTTGAATAATCATCCCTGAGAATCTGCACCCTTTGGGGTCAGAGTGAGAGACTGAGCATCATCAGGTGAAGGGGGAAATGGAGAGGCTACATTTTCAGGGGATGTGATACTGACAAGTTCAGTGATCTTGTGTCCTGGGACCCTTTAATCTGATGGAATCATAATGTTTTGATTCCGAAGAAAATTACAATGGGACAGTTTATCAGTTTAAACCCGAAACCTCCCAAACTCACCTCGTTCCAGTGTGGCTCTGTTGTGTCCCTGAAAACTCTGGTCTTCGCTTTACTGACAAAATAGCCAAAGGAATCGACTTCAAGTGTACAGTATAAACCTGGGAAGATGACAGGGAGAGAGAGAGAGCGAGAATTAATCAATTGTAGGAACACACTTTACTTCCACAGTAGGCAGCTTTGGGCCAGAAGAGGGCTTTAGTGGTTTAGATTGTTGGAGAGAACAAGGTCCACTCAATACCTTTAACGAACCCTGTTCACCAAGTTCTAATTCTTCAAGGGGATAAAATTCACAAAAGAAGAAGAGAACAATAACTGACTATCCTTCCTGTGACATGATGGTGGAACACAAAATTAATGGGGAATTCCATACTAGCGCAGAGAGAAAGACTACACGTACGGACCAGACACTCAATTACACCAGCAACCACCCCAACGCCCATAAATGGAGCTGCATCAGGACATTATTTAAGCGAGCTGTAACACAATGCAGCATCCTGGAACTACACAAAGCAGAACAGGAACAATTATACAGAGTCTTCAGAACGAATGGATACTTGAAAAGCACCATCCGCCGTCACCTCTGAGACAGACCACAACAGGAAGACACAACACGACCAGACTCATTAATTACCCTACCGTACATCAGGGACATTTCAGAGATGACCACAAGACTACTCAGACCCCTCGGTATCAGGGTAGCCCACAAACCAACAACCACCCTGCGACAGCTACTGACGAACGTAAAGGATCCAAAACCCGCAAAACTGGGGTAATATACAAAATACCATGCAGAGACTGTGAGAAACACTACATAGGCCAAACCGGAAGAAAATTGACAGTACGGATACATAAACACCAACTAGCCACCAAGAGAAATGACCAATTCTCACTTGTCTCACTACACACGAGGGACACAAATTCAACTGGGACAACACATCAATAATCGTGCGAGCCAGAGACATGCCAGGGAATTCCTGGAGGCCTGGCATTCCAACCAGAACTCCATCAACAAACACATTGAAGTGGACCTGATATATAAACCACTGAAAAACAAAACCCGAAGTGATGCCAAATACCCCAGCAAACCGAGGCATATAAAATAACAAGCAGGACAGAACACTAACGCTTCACCGGAGGCACACTGACAATGTTATCTAGCAGCGTGATGAAATGTCTGTAATCAAACACACCAGCTCAGCGAGCAAGTCTACAACCTCTTCAAGGGGGAGGAGTTAGTGGAGAAGGAAAAGGAGAAAGGGAGGAGAGGGGCCCAGGGTGTGGGCATTGGGTAGTGTTGTATATGTGGCCAGAAGTGTTAATATTGAGGAGTACCGTAAGTACCCACTATGATGATGTCATATGTTGCTGAGAAGAACAGCACAGAATCTCAAACAGTGATCGTGAATATTGAGTCCTTCTCAATGTCTCTATAACAATTTCTCTCATGTCAATTTAACCTATAACTCTTTCTAACATGCAATAAACAATATCTTGTTAACTACAGGATACTCTTCCAGTTAGAGCAGGAAGTGGTTTTTCTCTCTCACACCAGACCAGGCCAGCTGTGGAGTTTCCTCTGTGTAAACAAGATGGTGGCTGTAACCTCCTCAGATCAATTCAGGTCATAGGTTCCCTATCATCTCATTGACAGTCTGAGTGTCAGTCTTATGCCAATGTAACTAATCTCAGCAGATTCAATGTTTTGTTTAGGTTCTGCCATGAGTTAAGGGAAGTTCTGCCATGAGTTAAGGGAAGTTCTGCCATGAGTTAAGGGAAGCCAAAAAAATCTTCTACCAGCTATCCTTTGACCAGCAGTTTCTCAACCAGCTGTTCCTTTAACAACTGTTTCTTAACTTTATATAGTTTTTCTCTTTTCACCATCTGAAGATTGAAGTCAAGACAAGCCTTCCTATTCAAGTGAAAATGTTTGACAGTGTAGTATGTATAAGTTTTCTACTATTTAGTATTCCTTATATTGGAGTGTTGCTAGTAGCATTCCTTAATCTCAAGTATTGAAATGTGTTCACACACCACAACAGTTAGCAAAGCCTGAGATGAAAATCAAACAGGGAGCTAGCCAACTGATGAATCCGTAACTGATAGAAATCAGAAAGCTACACAGAACAAATAACTATGACAGATTCAAGACTGATGTTAGATTTGAATTTTACAAGGCAAGTTCAAACAGAATATTTGATTATTTATCTTCCAAGGAAAAATCTTCAGCAACATTCCAACCAGAAGGAATCCTCAAACACCAGAAATGAGGAACTGAGTGTGGAGGACAGTCCAAATTGAAGTAAAATGTTTGCATGCTTCAGCACAACTCCACAGATGGATTGAGGATAAAATTCTGAAGACACAAATTGATGAGGGGTAATGCATACAACTCCATGGAAGACACCACCAAGAAGAGATGATCAATGGCCAATGATTCAAGGTACAGCAAAGAAGAAGTTGCATGTTTCAGGCAGGAAGACATCCTCCAGGGAGGAAATCCAAGAGATTTAATGTCCTCTAGATTAAAGGGACCTACAGATCTCAGACTGTGATGAAGCAAATCAAAGATAATGGTCTTCCACCCAGTCTTTCACATCCAAAGGGAACACACAGGGGAAAATAATGTAACCTCCAGATCACTGACATTACCAAAGTCAGAGATTTGGGACAAGATGTAATTCTATACACAAATGTATGTTAATAATGAAAGAAAGGCTGGGGGAGAGGACATGGGAGAACAGTCTGAAGGAATTTGTTCTGTGGAGCACCACGATGATGCAGAGGCACCTACATCCCATGAACAAATAAACTCTGATGATGCAACATAGAACTTGTGGACAGAACAGCTCAAGATTTCAAAGGAGTGACAGCTAACACCCCGACCTTTACAACGCCTGTGTAACAATGTAGACCCAGTCAACGTAACCACTAACTAGTTGTTAACGACAAGAGGCTTTTAGTTGACCAACTGGCCTATAGTTTTTTTGCAAGAGGATCATAGCAGCAATCTCCATCAGGCATAGCAGCTCACACAGCACAGCGGGGAAAGGCAGTGGGGGGGGTACAGCGGCTGGGGTGATGCTGGTGATGGGAGAGGTGATGGACGAGGAGGTAGAGATAGCGGATTAGGGGAGGAGATGATGAGGAGCAAAGTCGGGGGGAGGAGAGAGGCCAGGAGCAGGAAGGGGATGAACTGAAGGGAACACAGTGACTCACTGGCTGGGGTATCAAAGCCCTTCGCTGAGCCGACGATGACATGGAGAAAACCATTCAGACCACTTGGCTCATCATCTGCAGAAAGAAGGTCACTCAGGGATCAGTCAATACGATGGGTTTGGTTCCCACCCACCACTCAACATCCCAACACCCAACCCTGACCCTACCCACCTACCCAACACTCATCACTCACCTCGCTAACACCCAACCCTGACCCTACCCACCCCCACAACACTCATCACTCACCTCCCTAACACACAACCCTGACCCTACCCACCCCCCCAACACTCATCACTCACCTCGCTAACACCCAACCCTGACCCTACCCACCGACCCAACACTGATCACTCACCTCCCTAACACCCAACCCTGACCCTACCCACCCCCACAACACTGATCACTCACCTCGCTAACACCCAACCCTGACCCTACCCACCCCCACAACACTCATCACTCACCTCTCTAACACCCAACCCTGACCCTACCCACCCCGCAAACACTCATCACTCACCTCGTTAACACCCAACCGTGACCCGACCCACCGACCCAACACTCATCACTCACCTCCCTAACACCCAACCCTGACCCCCCCAACCCCCCAACTCTGATCACTCACCTCCATAACACCCAACCCTGAAGCTACCCACCCCCGCAACACTGATCACTCACCTCCCTAACACCAAACTGTGACATCCCCATCCCCGCAACACTGATCACTCACCTCCCTAACACCCAATCCTAACACCCCACCAACCCTCATCACTCACCTCCCTCACACCCAACCCTGACCCTACCCAACCCCCCAACACTGATCACTCACCTCGCTAACACTCAACCCTGACCCTACCCACACCCACAACACTGATCACTCACCTCCCTCACACCCAACCCTGACCCACCCCAACACTCGTCACTCACCTCCCTAACACCCAACCCTGACCCTACCCACACCCACAACAATCATCACTCACCTCCCTAACAACCAACCCTGACACCCCCCCCAACCCTCATCACTTACCTCCCTAACACCCAACCCTGAACACCCCCAACACACGTCACTCACCTCCCTAACACCCAAACCTGACCCTACCCACCCCCACAACACTCATCACTCACCTCCCTAACAC